ATCCTCCAAGAACACGAGGCCCTCCGCCGGCCCAAGGTGAAGAACATTCGAAGGCAACCTCCCCCAGGATATCCCAGGATGCACAAACAAATCCAACAATCACGAAGAACATCAGGGTACCCTCCTCGAACCGACCTCGATCTCATACCTCGGTCCGACCTTACGGCCCCTGTACTACCCATGCCAACCCAGGAACTCGCAAAGATGGCCCAAGCAGCTCTCCGACAGGACCACGCAGGCCCGGCCTGACGGCACAACGGTTGCTCTGCTGAGCACCCTCTCGACAGCTCAGTGTCCAACATTGTCCAACCACCGCGCTACTACACGGCACACCGAATAAAGAACGGAGCCTCCCAGGAGCCCCCAAGATGTCCCAAGAGGCCCCCCAAGAGGCCCCTTGGAGGCCCCCAAGAGGCCTCCAGAAACTCCCAAGAGGCCCTCAGGAGGCTCCCAAGAGATCCCCAAGAGGCTCCCGAAGACCCAAGAGGGACCCCCCCTCCTCGTCCACTTGCTCTGTCTCCCTGTCCTCCTCACATACAGGGTCGGCGGCACTGGCCGTAAGGCCTTCACAATATAGAACGCTGAAAATCTCTCCTGGCAGCCACGAGTAAGGTTCCCTGCCTGGGCTGAGGAACGCCCCGAAAACCGAAGGACCCCCTGAACTCACCGTGGTCCTTATGTCAGCGCCTTGACTGTAGAACATTCGACCCAGAGATGGCCCAGAAGCAGGAAGGACGGACCCCTGAATCCCCAAAGAAACTTCCGAGAAACTTCCAACAACAGAGACAACACCCGTAGAATATTACGGCCAAACCGCGCTACAGCTCTGTGGCGCTGCTTCGCTGATGGTCCCAAGATGGTTGCTCCGAGCCTGCTTGGAAGAGCTCGGGACAAAGCAACAACAACATACAGCAAACATGCCAATGCTGCGTTGACGTGGTGGTGACGCTGGCCTCAGGAATCATGACACGCATGAGTACGTGGAGCATCGCCGCTACGCAGCTGGTTGTACGTCCAAGGAGCAGTGACCATCCAGTGCGGCTGTGTGAAACCATCGTATTACAAATCAGTACGCTGGCAATGATTTCCAACCCACGAAGATATGCGAAGATTTAGCACACCAAGTAAGCGTCTGAACTTGTCACGAGTATGACTGCGCTCGAAGCAGCGTCTGAACTCGGGCAACAACTGCTCGTTGAAATGGCTTTTTACCGCGCAGCTTATCCTCACCAGCCCAACCGCTATACATCTGCGATTGGCGACAAGAAGGAACAGCATCGTCACATCAGTCGCAACCAAGCGTGGAATCACGACGCCTCAAATGTTCTACTCAGCATGCGAAGAAGAGCTGCAGCACAACGATCAGGCGCGAGGGAGTGAAGGCGGAGGACCAGATACGCACGTGGGCGTCGCCTTCCCCTGCGCATCCTCCCCTCCCTTTCCTCACTCCCGCCTCATCGCTCCCCCCTGCTCGCCTTCCCCACCACTGCCCATCCTTGAAGGGGCCCTGGGACACACAAACAAATACACACAGATAACATGATCCCCCATAGTTTCCTGCATTTTCTGAGATCTTGTCTCCCCCCCACTTCCCAGATTTTCCCATATTTCCTGGGAGATCGGCGATGAATTGCGTCTGTGTTTTTTCCCCTCCTGAAGCCTTGCCCTCGGGAAAACGCTAACATAGATCACGGACCCGCATAAATGACGGCCGCGACGCCCTCTCGCGAACCGTAAACGGCCAAGTCCTTGATCGACGTGTCAGGATAGGAGGTCTATCCACCTCCGCCCCTTCTCGCCTCCCCCACCACTGCCCATCCTTGCCCTCGGGCAGACGCCAACACTGGCCATCGCTCGGACGTCCATTCCCTGTGTTTTTTGTCGGTTCCGTGTGTGTTTTTTCGCGAAATGATCAAGGATGCTCCTCGATGGCCCTCGCCGAGGAAAAAACGCACACGTCCGAGCGATGCCAAGAACAGAGCTAACGGACCCGTGGGGCCCGCGCGTGGGGCGAGAGCTCCACTGCACGGGGGAAGGTGCGGCCCCTCCGAGAACGTGCGCCGATGCCGCCTCGTCTGGCGACGGCGCGCGCCGAGGCCGCTTGGAAACGGGGCCCGTGGTTTACAGTCAACCCGCACAGGAAGGATGCGCGAGAAGGATGCAAGGGCCTTGGACGCCCATTTCGAAGCTCTCCGAGCGGGGCGCGGCCAACGAAGGTGCCCGAGGCTGGACCCAGGAGGCAAGGATGCAGGGGTGCCCTTGGGAAGGTTGCCCCTCCTTACTGTGCGGGCTGACTGTAGTCCACGCGCCTCAACTCGGGGGCGTCCAGTTAGCAGGATAGGACGGGGGGGCGCCCAAGAGGGGGTTCGCAGACCATGGCCCGAGGCACCTGCGCAGCCCCGTGGGGTCGACGCAGGGGACTTATGGCCGGACCGAGGATAGAATTACACCCTCCAGGAACATGAGACCATCCGCAGGCCAAGAGCTGAAGAGCATTCGAGGATGCCCTCCCCCAGGATGCACAAGAGCATCCACCAAACACGAAGAACACTAGGGTACCCTCCCCGAACCGACCTCGATCCTAGGCCTCAGCCATGATATCCTCCCCCATGGTCATCACCCCCCTCTTGGCCGCTCCAGATGAACCCATGCTCGCGTTTCCTCGAATGCCCCCTCCCCGCTGGGCCCCTCAGCCTTCCCCGTCCCCCTCCCCCTCC